AATAATTAGGGAACTAATTTTCTGTCAACAGAGAAGTACAGTTTTCTGGGCCGGTGGCAGCAAGATCGTCTTCGATTTGGCTCGCAACAGGGCTTTCTGATAATGACACTCGTCATTTTGAGACCCTGCTTCTTCAGTCAGGGTCTGCACACTTGTGCCTGCATGGTTTACATGCTAACAAAATTAAGCCAGGAATGGGCCGTAGAGTCCTCTGCCCTGGTCATAATTTTGCAATGTCCCCATGTTCGATGCCAGCTTCCTTGGCCATAAAATAAAAGGGGCCAGGATGTCGCAGCAGTTCTTCAGGGCTGCCAAACTCTACAATCTTCCCGTTGTCCAGGACCATCACCCTGAAACAAGGAAGTAGGAAAGAAAAGTCTGAGGAAACTGTTCCAGCCTCAACGCCTATAGGAATAACCAGGACCGGAGTCTTCATCCCTTCTCAAGGCCACAGGCAGTGAGCACGATGGAAGCTCCTGCATCGTGTATAGATTCCATGTGAAGCATCAAACAAAATCAATAGTGGGAGGATGTCTGCAAGACGAGCCCATGCACATAGCTTTTGGTTTCGCTTTTTAATACGTGCAGGGAAACACAGCTTAAAAGGGAGCTTTCCCCAGTCAAAAAAGACTTCTCTCCAGTTTCTAAAATGACAGTCAGGACTGTCATTGGACAGTCACAGATTCTGTCCAAGTCGAAAGGAATAGCAAGTACCCCGTCATCTTCCCGAGGCCAGGCTTCGGAAGGTGTGCGCTAAATACCTGCCCTCAGGGCCAGGACCCCACCCTTGGGGAAGAGCTACCCTTAGCCCTGTCAGCTTTCAACAGCTGAGGGTATAGTTTGGGGCACATTACTCAAAATCTCTTGACCTCAGCGTCTTCATTAGTAAACCTTCTGCCTTCAGTGCCACGTGGCTATTTCTGTTGACAGGGCTATTTCTGTAGCCCTGGCCTTCGGGCGGTCCCTACTCACCTGTCGCTATCTATGATCGTGTGCAGCCTGTGGGCAATGGTGAGGACCGTGCAGTGGGCGAACTCGCTCTGGATGGTCATCTGGATGAGGTGGTCTGTCTCCAGGTCCACCGCAGCGGTGGCCTCATCCATGATCAGGATCTTGGATTTTCGAAGGAGTGCCCTGGCCAGGCACAGCAGCTGCTTCTGCCCTATGCTGCAGCCCAGAAGAAACCGCATGTCAGTCCCAACCCCCACCCGGGTGGGTGCCGGAGCAGATGGCTGATGCCCCCTTCTAAGTCCACCCAGCATGCCTTAGCATGACTCTTCCGCTAGCTGTTTGCTGTTTCCCCATTCATTACACGACACAAGGGTCCATTCATTCGTATTTCAAAATTCAATTTCATGCTCAGAATGGGAGGAGCCTAGGAAAATGTCACTTCAAAAAGCACCCAGATGACTTTCATATTTACACGTATTTGGAAGACAGGAGCCCAGAAACAGAGCTTTGCGTTTGGCCCCAGTGACATCTCAGCACATCGACGACTCCAAAGTAATGTGAAAGCCAATTTTCACCAGCAGGGCTGACCGACACCATTAATACAGGGTGACATCTCACCAGAACGCCCCGGTGGCATTTCTTAGTGGCCTTAGCAAACCCATTCATTATTTTAATGTGTAATTCTAGTCTCCAGGCTAATTGTTTGTTTGAGGCCTTCTGCCTTGATTAGAGATGTAGCTCTCTAATGAACATGATGTCTTGGTGTGAGATGCAATGTATGTGGAATTCAAATATGCTTGTAAAATGCAAATAGCCTTCATTTGCTAAAAGCTGGTAATGAAGGCTGGACCTCTTACTTACAAAAAGAAGCTTTGGGAAATGATGTGGAGGAATATTCCGGAATTCACTAATTGCTCTCTCCTGCTGTGCCCATTAGGGAGCATATTGCACAGGGGGTGGCTGGACTCAAGCGCTATGACTCTCTGTAAGGAAATTTCTACAGGAGATGAGAAGTCACCCAAGATGAACTTCTAGTTTTTCTTACAAAGGTAGAATTGAAACCCCGCAACGCTCTTTCCATGACTTGTCCCGAGTCCCACCGTTCAGCTGGACCCCCCAGGCTGTCGTGGCAGGAGCTCTCAACCGCCGACTCGTCTCGTCTCTGATCCCGCACTGGCAGAGAGAGTGGGTCTCAACACCTGCTCACTGGCTTTAAAGTCAAGGCTTTGGCCATGCCACTGAATGCCCACCACACAGCCAGACAGGGTGGTGTGGGTTTCATTCTCAACCACAGGAGTCCAGGCCCTTCCCCTGCTGCGCAGAGCTGGGGTCAGGATGTCTGCACCATCTCCCTCTGTAGCTCCTGTAGGTGCTCAGTATACATGTTTGTTAATAAATGGTCATTTTCCTACTACTCCAGGCCTGGAAGTGCTGCAACCCCCGATCTGCCACTGAGTAAACACATAAGAGGTTCCTCACCAGCCGGCAGATGGCCTGGGACATGCACTGCACTCAGCTGGGTGCTCAGTCCAGCTGGTCTGGGCTACCCTAGGCACTGGGCTTTTTAAAAGTTTCTGGAGTAGGAGTCTCCCTGCTAGAACAAGGGGTTAAGACACAGCACTACGAGCTGCCCGCAGCCAATTCAGCACACGCTTGATTCCCGGCCAGGGAGCTGACCCACACGGCACAGCAGAATTCTACTGTCTCGCCCGCTGCTCCCCTCAGCAGTGTGTTTCAGTACACCTGCCTGTTCTGCTCCCCACTCTGTCTCTGGTGAGTCTTCTCACCCCCTGCACCTCTGGCCTACACCCTATTCTTGTATGCATAAATAAACAAATCTTTTTTTAAAAAGTTTGTGGCGTGATTCCAGCATGCAGCCTCGTGTGGTGCCACCCACCACTGCATGTCTGCAGTTGTGAGGTGCCCAGGCATCACCGGGACTTGCCAAAAGGTGGGTTCTGGAGGGTGGGCCTCCAGCCCGAGGCTCCGCATTTACAGCTGGCTCCCCGGGAAGCCGGAGCTGCAGGTGCATTCACTGAGCGGCTCAGCCCTCCCGTCTTTCCTGAGCTGGAGCTGCTGGTGGGCTGACCCTCTGCCGCACTCTGAGGGAGCGGGCCCCACCCCAAAAGAACTGCCCTTGAGAACACACTTTGGCTGAGGGCTAACCTTCAGCATGGGAAGGGAAAAACTAGATTGCCCTAGGGAAGAAGCCGGGTCAGCTTATGAACTGACAGGCAAGTCCAGGGAAGACCAAAGGGTGAATTGTGGACACACAGAGACAGGTTGTGAGACAGTAAGAACTGTGGTTGCAGGTGTGTCTGGGGGCACACTGTCCAGGACACGGCTAGTATCTCCATCACCCACTTGGCCCCCTCGATCAGTGCTGTTCAACCTGGGGGTACCTGGATAATCCCTGGGGTCCTTTACAACTCCCATGACTTGTCTGTACCCCTGACCGGCGAAAGCAGACCACGCGGGGCCAGGCACCAGGATGGGCGCCTCCTGTGAGGCCTCGCGAGGGGACATTTACCAGCAAAGTTAGTGAGAGGTTCCGGGCATGCCCACATCTATTTGATCCTGTCATTTTCATCAGGCTTTTCATAAGGCTTTAGCGATTAGACCTTGAGAAAGAGAATTCTCTGATGCCCTCCTAGCACAAGTAGGGAGAGAAGAGGCCTACTGGCCTCTGCCCACAGTCTGTGGCGGGAGGGGACTGTGAAGCCTTACCTAAGGTTGTCGCCGGCCTCTGTCACCTCGTGGCCCAACCCGAGCTTCAGACCGGACACGAAGGGTTTGAGGTGAGCTAGCTCTAAGGCCTTCCAAATCTCCTCATCTGTGTAGTGGTTGAAAGGATCGAGATTCATCCTCAGGCTTCCAGAGAACAGGACAGGGTCCTGCAAGTCAAGGGAGGCACTTGGGGTCACTGCCCCGAAAGGAGCTAGCAGTTCTCTGTGGCCGAGAGGAGATGGGGAGGGCTGCTCTAGGTGGAGCGAGCGGTGTCAAGCTTTTGCCAGGTTTTGGGGCACTCAGTGGCCACAAGCCAAGAGGTAAACTCAGGATTAAGAGGAGTCCTTGGTTCGTTTTTCAACTTCATTGTTTCTCATGTATAGATTTCCATATTAGCCACAGCACAGTAAGATAAGGTCCTACACCCCCAAATGAAAATTTGTGGCATGGAGGGGGCAGGGTCTGGGTGGCACGGAAGGAGGGGCTCTGTGTTTTTGCAGCGGCGGAAAAGGGTGTGTCAAACTACAGAACCATCAGACAGGGCCGCGAGACAGCTGAGACAGGGCTGCTGTGGCAGGGACCGGCTGCAATGGGGGTCCACAAGCTGCTCCAGGTGGTTCCTACGTGGTGGGGTCCAGAGAGGAAGCCCAAGGGCAGCCTTTCTTGCTGACGCATGGAACGTTCCACTTGCTGGCAGAAACCTGCATCCAATTCCCTCCCCGATCTTTTAGCCATAGCAAATGGGGAGAATAAAGCTTAATGGTTTCAAGCTTCAGTGGCAAAACTGCTAATGCTGATTACAAAGGTCTTGAGAACCGTGATGGGCTGCAGAAGTGCTAAATAATCATCTGCTGTAGTCAACTTCTGACACGTTATTGCCACCTACAGGCCACTTACTGGCAAAGACAGCAAATACCCCCAAACTGCAACGCTTACTTTTGTGCCTTCTGGGAATTGTGTGCCTTAGACATTTAGCTCAGGAGTCCCAGCGACTGCAGAAACGACACCGGTCATTGACACCCATCAAGAAGAAAACACACACGCTTCCTGAAGAACAAGCTGACCCACTGTGTCTGACGAGGAAGCTCTAGACTCACCTGGGGGATGATGGTCAGTTTCTCTCGGAGGTCATGGAGGCCGATGGAAGCGATATCCAGCCCATCGATGGTGATCTGGCCAGCTGCAGCCTCAAGGATTCTGAAGAGGCAGTTTGTCAGGGATGACTTCCCAGCTCCTGTCCTGCCCACCACACCGACCTGCAACACAGTTCCTTGGCAGGTTGGTTCAGCAGGTACATCTCGGGGGGCAGCTGTAGCCTGGGACATTCATCATTGCCTACTTCACCTCCAAGATGTTAGGCTGATTTGGGTATTGGTGCCCAAAATGGGAGAAAAGTGCCCAGGCTGTTTACTGAGAACCCCAGTGACTATTGTGAAGGTCGTTAGCAGCAGTTGTACTTTTTATTGGAAATTACTGATTTTTTAAAAAGTCTTGTTTAGAAGGGAGGTGAAAGGAAGGCTCAGGCCTCCCACCACTTAAGAGTCAGGCCCCGAGCTGGGCCTCTGGGCCCTTATCTAGACTGTTCTGGATCCTGTGTCAGACTCCAGGCTTCAGAGAACAAGGCCACAGGTGGGCGCAGGGCTTCGCAGACCAGACTGGGCCACTGCTGCAGCGACAACATCTACATCACTGTGTTCCCCGGCTGCTCTCCAGCGGGCATTCCCTTTCCTTCCCTTCTGACTTCCTGTCCTTACAGGAAATGGGCCCTGGGAAGCCCAGGAGAACAGGATGCTGGCAAGAAGGGCTGAAAAAAAGCCTCTGCTGCTCCAGAAGCCTGTCAACCCCTTGAGGTATTCTGCCATCTGGTGGTGACTCTGAGTTCCTACACCGCCAGGGCAGGTAAGTGCCCAGGTGATCTCCATGCCGGTCATGAGAGCCCAGGGCCCAGCTGCCCAACTCTCTGATGACTTCCAGACCTTTCTTCAGCTCCACTTACCTTCTCCGTGCTCCTAATGTCACACGTTATCCCTCTTAGTACCAGCTCCAGCTCGGGCCGGTACCGCACTTCGTAGTTGTTAAACTTGATCTCCCCTTTGCTGGGCCAACCTTCTGGGGGCTTCTTATCACTGACCCAGGATGCCTGGGAAGGAAACAGAAGAGCTTTACACAGTGGGGACCCATTGAACAGTCCCTTGGACGTGCACCACAGAACAGGAGGACAGCAGTGTCCCTGCCACCTGTGGACATTTCCATTAAACAGAGTGAACTATGCTGATACTTCTAGAAAGTTCCTACCTTATTCACTGAAGGAAGCCCTAGCCATCAAGCTTGCTCCATGGATCTCCAGAATGAAGCCAGTGTGACTTAGTGTGCTCCCCACTCTCTTCCTATTCTAAGTTTCAAGAAATTAGGGCTTTTCAGTTACAGTAAGGGAGACTATAGGGCGACCGCTAACACCACATGATGTCTCCAGCGAGGCTGGAGATACTCTGTAGGAGTTGTGTCTTTTCTCTGCCCGGCCCTTGGGCCCTCTAGACCCTCCTCACCTCATTTTCCACGTTGATATATTCATTTATTCGCTCAACAGCCACAATGTTGGTCTCTATTTCTGATGTCATCCTCACCAGCCAGTTCAGGGTCTGTGTGATCTACAGCAAAAACAAGACTAAAATCACCTTGGGCTCAAAATCCAGCTCCACAAGTCAGGTCACAAGTCAACCCAGGCAGGGCCTGCTTTGTATGCAGCATGGTCCTGATGCTGAGGAGCAAGGAGAATGCGAATGACCCTCCTCACCTCTTCAGGGAGAAATGAAACCAGTAGTTGGAAGACAGGACTGGGCTGCGTGGAGCCGAACATGAACTTGGAGAGGCTGGGGCTGAAGTTGGGCTTGGAGGGGTGGGTGGAGTGGGACCAGAGCTGAGCTATCTCGGAGGGGGTAGGAGGTGGCATTCTACAAATGGGGGGACTACGAAAAGTCCTGTGGGAAGGGCCCTTGTTCTCCCCAGCAAACTCTGGGCCCTGCCTGCCATTGCTGCGCTACATCTAACCACCAGCAGAGGGCGGACGTGATCTGGGCCATGTGGCGTCCAGGGCGTCGCCCATCACTCAGGCGCAAGCCCCTTTCAGGAGCTTGAACCTGGAACAACGTGCCCTGGGAATTTTTGGTGAGCACGTGGTGGCTAGAGAGAGGGAAGGCATGGGAGCAAGGCATGAGACGCGGTATAAATACTCTGAGTAGGTTGGTTATTTTTGATGTTTCTGTTTTGATGAAACTAACAGTTGTCCAACTCTTTGCCCCATCTAGAACACCTGGAAATGGGGGCGGAGGGAGGGGGCAGTGGTACACAGAATAGAGCGACTGTGGTAAGCTCAGGCTGCCTCTACACGCCCTTCCATGACCATCTCCTGGGGCCCAAATAACTCCTACTGAAGACAGCGCTGTGGAGAACCTCATAAGTTATTAAGAGCCTGCAATAAATTAGTGCGGAAGGATAGCCAATGATTCATTAAATGACCATTTATTGAACATTTGCTGTAGTGCTAGGCACTCTCTTAGGCGTTAGGAAATAATGTTTAGCATTTATCCCCTAGTTGTGCCGGGGTGCATTACATACTGTTATTGGAGACTGTTCTTGATTAGAACTAACTCCAATTAGTCTGTGATTTAAGAAAAATAAACATAGAGGTTATTTGTCCAAGAGTCTTTTTGGTTACTGTTATACTAGGGGAAAGAAACCCATTTATTCTCTCTTTGATTAGAATACAGTCACAGAGACAGCAAAATATTAGACTGCAGCACATGGAATTGCTTTCTTAACACCCAAAGGCACCAAATTGCTCCCCATTTTTCCAGATGACACTGGTACCTACTCAGGAAGAAGGAGTAAACCCAAGGGCTATACATTTAGTAACAGATGGAGCCAAGTTTACACCCTCGTCCCTCTAGATTTAAAAAGGAATCAAAGCAGGGGCTGTGTGTATACTATGGACTCGCTTAACAACAGTTACCTTCATGTAACTGAACTCCCGAACTCAGACTCACATTAAGGGCGTTGGACAGAACAAAGCCCACGATGTCTCCACTTAGGGTTCCTCTATAAATAACCATCATCAAGGATGAGAAGAAGACGATCAGGTTCCCAACCAGCTCCAGTCGAATTGCAAGCCACCTGTAAGGCAAAACATGACAGGGGAGAGAGAGAGGCGTCAGTAATCACCCTTCCTCATCTTACTCAGCATCCTAGGTGTTTAAAGAACTTTCTCAGAGACTATCTTCTCAGAAGGTGCCTCAACTTATGCCATGTCTTTTGATTTGACTATTACCCAAGTCTTTTAAATTTGATTTTAGAAGGTAAATTTCATTTAAAAGAGGTGTTTGCAAAACTAGGAGAATCTTATGGTTAGTGTCCCCCAAACTTGCCAAATAATAAAAATCACATGGGCAATACACTAAGTTATGCCCAAATGCCTGAATCTTCCCTAGGAGGTTCTGATTCAAGGGGCCTAGGGTGGGTTCAGAAACTTACATTTTAACAAATGTTTCACATGATTTCTTTTGAGTTGGTAGGGGAAACAATGTCATAGAGAATCCATGTGTAAAGCTAGAAAGTGCCATAGCAAGGGTGGATGTGTCCTGGGGGGTTCATGATTACAAAATGGTGAAGGAGCTGGAGAAGTGGAGGCTTTGGTAGAAAAACTGAATAGCATACAGATAGACATAATTTGTAAAAATGTACTTCCCTGAAGAAAATGTACAAAAGAATCCTAGCAGGTACAATATACAAATAAATATCACACCTATTTTACAATAGGGATTCAAATAAGGTTGACTTGTATAACTGTTTCCTTCTTAGAAAATATCTAAGAAATAAAATATCTCTACAAGCAAATCCCTGAGCTCTCCATGTTGCAAATAATACTGAGTATCACCAGCTGGTACTTAATACTTCAAGTCAAGATGGAACCTACTTTCTGTAAAAGACCTTTCTCATTCGAGAACATATTTCTTGCCAGGGTCTAACAATGCTGAAGCAATGAAAAATGTTCATCCTTTGGGGGCATTTACCTCACAGGATATAAGATTTCTGTCACTATTGGTTTGATCTAAACATTCCCAACTCTCCTCCCTCCAACCTCTCTCCTTCTTTCATCGCCCTGCAAAGAGTGTCCTGTCAGTGGAGAACGAGAATCTCATACCCACTCCAGGGAAGCAGAGAATGTCCAATCACAGTATTTGATGGGTCACAGGTTACAGAATGCTCAGAGGTCACTTGAATCCTACCATAAGCTTGTGGGAAACATTGTGTTTCAGCCATTGCAGAACAAACAAAGTGGGATTTTCCAGGGAGAAGCCAATGCCCCAGTTTGGCAAATGGCAGAGTAGGGCCAGGGCCCAGCCTGAGCCCAAAGCTCAGGTTTCCTCCTCTCTACTTACAGACAGGCATAGTGGCCTGCGACTCTCATATCCCTACCTACACCTGCCCTCCCCTACCTAATGTCAAGCATGCAGAAGCCAAAACCCCAGGGGTGGCCTCACCTGTTGGAGACAATCCAGGAAAAGACGCATTTCTGGTTGTTGCCAACTGCCACCTCGTTGTGTTTCAGAAATCGCTGCTGGTGCCCAAAGGCACGGATGACAGACAAACCTGACACAGTCTCGCTGAAGTGAGAGTAGATAGGGGACCTGGTGACGGAGTCTAGACGTCTCAGCTGGCGGGAAGTAGCCACGTAGAACAGCTGGACCCAAGAGCGAAAGGATCAATTAGCACTTGTGTGGCACACACTATACCTCTTCATTCCCACAGCTGAACTGGATAGAAGTGTCCAGGCTCATCTATCACTGGAGGAACAGTGGGAGCAGCCCAGAGAGAGAGGACCAGGGGAAGATCTGGGGTTGGTCAGAAACAGGCTTGGTCAGGGAAGGATGCTATACCCCAGCCAGAGGTTTGAATTTCCAAACCACATAAAGTTTGTATAGCCTCCTCCACATTCTCTGCAGACATCATCAAATTGTGGTTCTTGCAATGGTTAGAAAAATGGTCTCCAAAGAATAGTTAGTAAATGTATCCAGATCACTAGGGGTGTACATATAGGCAAGAGATGGCCAAAGTATGCTGCGGTTTAGATACAAATAGAATCTAACTGGTAACAGGTCAAAACTGTGTCTAAATGGTGTGTGAAGGATGTGGGATATTGAGGGCCTAAGAACTGGAAGTGGATGTCATGTGTGCAAGGCAAATCTCCCAGACAGGAGGATTAAGGTGAGCTTGAATGAATAGGCTAGTGGAACTCCTAGACATCATGAGGATTTTTTAAGCCAAGGAAGAGCTAGCTTTTGAGAGTCCAGAATTCAAAATGAAACCCCTGGAAGTCTCCTCAAATAGCCTGTTTCTCAGTTGTGGGTTCATTGTTAACAGTGAAAGGGCCGTTACTGAGATGACGGTATACCTGGGTGAATGTTACTGTACTATGGGCCATCAGGCTGCTCTTGACGGCAAGATCTTTGAGGCTGTTTCCGCTAGGTGAAAAGTTCATTCCAAAGGTACCTGGTTTGGAACTCCCTATAGCTGTAGCTGTCCTCCCTACAATTTCCCTCCTCTCACCAGCTTTTACTATGGGCAATGGCGTCCCCTCCACTTGCTCTGGACTTTCTGAGGCATGGCTCTTGAGACACAATGAAAGTTAGCCTAAACCATCCACAGTGAAACTAGAACTTCCCGGAAGGGAAAAGAAATGCAGAACCTGCTGAGATGCATCCCTAGGGAGATCAGATTATTTCAAAGCCAAAAAGCCAAAAAGGAAGATGCCACATCTTCCAAAAGCAGCCAGAGACCTAATCACTGTGCAGAGAGGTGGGGGTTGGGAGCGTGGCCTCACAGAGCTTCATGACTTCCCCAGAGTCAGGGTCAAAGTAGTCTTGGGTTTAAACTTCACTCTGTCCTACTTAAGCTTCTAGGGGTAGGGGAGAGCTAAGCTGAGATTTGCTATAAACCAGACAGTGGCCTGTGGTTGCTTGGTGTATCACCCTATGGCTCGATCTAGAAAGGAACAAATGACCATCGATAAAGAAAGGAGAATTCCCAGAGAGAGCATGGGCTCTTATATGCGGTACCTGAATAAGCACATAGATGATGCCCAGAGGTATGACGATGATGATGAAGGTGGGCGTGGCCAAGCAGATCATGACTATGGTGCTGATTATCCCGAGGAAGCACAAAATCCAGCTGCGTAAGGACATGGGGAGTGTGTCGTCCACTGTGGAAATGTCCTAGGGACATGCAACGAGCAGAGACGTGCGATAAGGAATCCCTAAAGCTTTACATCTTTCCGATTTCAGCAAGAGACCTCTTTGCTTCTGTTTTCCTGGTAGCTCCTTCACTCAATCATTTCACCCTATTCATTTGCCATCTATTATTCTCCTCACTCAAACAAACTGTAATTTCCCCATTTTTCTCAGTCTCTCCAAACAGATATGGCAGTCATCCTTCACCTCTTTTCCAATAGCTTTGGCAAAGGTTTTCACTCTTCTTACTGAAAATCCCACTTGTCAAATTTAGGAAACAATTCATAACCACTGCAAGCTAATAAAACCTTAAAGGTAAATCTTTTCATACTAAGGCAATTCAATCATTCTAGCTCTACAACGGTTTCGTTCCATTGAGTACCTAGAAGAGAGGCTGACACATAACAAGCATTCAATAAACATTTATTTGGAGACTGCAGTCAACCTCTACCTGGGAAGTGGTTTCCTTTGGCAAACAGCTTCAAGAGGTGAAGGAAGTAAAGATTAGATGTGATTGCTGCCTGACATGTGTTCTACTCAAGGAACCCAGAGGTAAGAGGTGGGTCTTTCTACTCCGTTGCATTCATGTCATGTTGAATAAATGAACAAATGAGCAGATGGATGGGTGGATGGATGGATGAGTGGATGGATGGATGGATGATTTACTACATACAGGAATCCTGGCTTATATTTTGGGTTGCCTTTGCCATATGTCTTAGATCATGCTGACTCAAGGACTTACAGTAGTACATATGTTCCAAGGTGAGTCTAAGTAATCTCTGGAATGTCCAAGACTGGATAAGGGATATCATGTCTGAATGATGACTCCTGAGTCTAATCTCTCCTTCCCAAAGTCACATCAGAGTGCAAATTCCTGGGTTTATAGAAAGAAGACATCCTCACCACCTATTGCTCCTATCCAGATTACTTTTGATCCTTACCTAGCACAGTTTCTCCATTTTTCTTTCTTCTAACTCCTCCCTAAATCTCCATTTAAGGGCTCAGTCATCTGTTCAAGAGGACCCCAGATCAATCTCTGTGATTTCACACAACATAGCCAAGAAAACTTTGCATGCTGGATGGACAGAAGAACTGTAACTACGCAGTGTTGCCTAGGGGAACATGAAAATTCTTTCTCTGCCAGAAATGGAAAGATCTTCACCATATGAACACAACATCTTACAGTCCTTGGGTTACTTACACCAGCAAACCTGTTCACAATCCGACCTATGGGTGTTGTGTCAAAAAAACTCATGGGCGCTCGGAGAATATTGTCTAGCAGTTGCTTGTGAAGGATATTTGATGCATGGTTGCAACCATAGGCACTCCAAAGATTTGCTATGAGCACAAAGAAACCTAGAAATGGAACCAGTTTAGTCAGCACTAGGCACAGTGATTCCTGAAGATGTTTGCCAAGAACATCGCATCCCCCGACTTCAGGTAAAGTACATGGTCCGACAGATTCTGTAAGTAATGGCTTCTGGGGCCTTTCTAGTGGCTCAAGGGATTAAGATGCAGCGCTATGAAGCACTCTGGGCCATCTTAGCATGAGTTTGATCCCTAGCCAGGTAGGTGACCCACATGGGGCAGCAGCAGACCTCTCCTGACTCACCCACTGCGCCCTCCAGCATGTATTTCAGTGGACCTGCCTGTTCTGTTTCCCACTCTCTCTCTGGTGAATCTCTCACTATCCCTCCTCACTGGGCCCCCTCCCCACAAATCTACATCCAGCTCCTGTATGCATAAATAAATATCTTTTTTTTTTTTAAGAAAAAATGGCTGCTGGAGTCATCATGTATACCTTGAGTTATTCCCAGAGCTCCATAGACACCCACTCTCAAGTCCCTCTGAGATGCTGGGTAGTTGGTGCTATTGAAGACTTTAGAGTCACTGGTCCAAGCACTGAGCCAGAGGTTGGATCCAATAAAAGCCGCAGAATTGATCATGTAGGCAAAGATGATGAAGAATATCGAATACCTTCCGATTGCTTGAAGGTATTTCAGGTAGATGGAGAACTTCACCTGCAAAGCCCCACTTCAATATTAGTAGAGAACAAGGGCAGCTGGTAAGAAATTTTCTAGAGTACCAATTGCCACAGGGAGTGGAATCCACTGAAAAGGTAGGCAGCAGGCAGCAAAATTTGGTTGCCTGGGATTATCATTTCTGCACTGGGTCAGGTTTACAATCAGTGTTGAAATATAGTGCAAGGTAAATCTCCATCAGACTATTCATAATCTTCCAGATGGGAGTTATGGTTTTAAGAGGTTGGACTTTGGGGTTTTAAATTTTACAAATTTGAACTAAGGCTATGAGACTGACATGTCTAGCTCCTAGATCTCAAAGCAGTTTGGTTGTTTTCTCAGATATCAGAATGAAATAAAACTTATATGAGGATATTCATAGGAAACATGTCACTGTTCATAGAAATACAATTTGATAGACAGTCCAGAACCTTTGCTAACATTGCAACGATGAATTTAAATGTTTTCAAAGCATGTAAGACATACTCCTCCTGTATTTAAGTCATCACACTTTAACATGTTCCGATCCCAAGACTTACAGCACCTGGGAATGGTACTTTTTACAGAATGTTCACCTTTCCGGTTTGCATGAATTCCTTCTCAATTAGTTTTTGTCCTTTTACTAGTTCTCCCTCCTTCTTTGGCATATTCACATTCTGAGTTCTCAAAGAGTCTCTGAGGGACTTCAGGGGCCTGCTACTGGACCTAGAACTGAGAAGTTGAGAGGGAAAAAGCGTTTCTGAGCCTGTAGCTGCTTCCCAAGGGTCTTCTTGCAAGCAGATTTCACAATAACCTCGTTAGCCTCAAAGCACATGTCAGAGACAACATCCATGGAAAAAACACATCCCCCCAACCTGCCTCCCCATGCATTCAGTGAAGGAAAAGCCTTCAAGGTGTCTACACACTCGGGGAAATCCCACAGAGAGGAAGCCAGTAGGTAGGTGGAAATAGCGGTGTGAGGAGGCCTGTCACTGAACAAGTGGCCCACCGGCGGCTAAGTGTGCGGTGAAAGCTGTTCTCTCTCTTCATGGTCAGGGAAGCTGCATCCTCAGGGATTTCCTCCACACTGGGTATCAGCCCACAGTCATCTTCTGTTTCACTGTCCTCGTTGACTAGGAGACAGAAACAGCACGGTTTAAAGAGAGGCCACACAGAGCCCCAGCCGTGAACACAGTGAGTGAGTCTCTTCTGATCTTGCTGGCCCCAGCAAGTGATCCCAGAGGTACTCACACACTGGAAGACTTTATTCTAAAACTATCACTTATTTGTACATCTTCTTATTCAGAAATGCCGAAGAAGAGAAATAAAGAAAGAGGAGTGAAGAAGAGAAATGACAAAGAAGAGAAATGAGAAAATGATTAAAAAAGAGAAAAAGTACTCCCAGAAGCTTCTAAGTTCCTTTGGAGCAGGAAAGAACTTTAAAGGACTATGAGAGACACCCAGAAGAATCAAAATTTCTAGGATTGACTGAACAGGTGAGGGTAAATTTAAAGGCCTTCCTTGAAATTCAAATAACTTATCAGCAATACTGTAGCTGAGGAAGCACAGACATGGGCCCCACAAAGACTAAATAGGTGGTACAAAGCTAGCCACGCTCCCCCTCAAATGCATTTTCTCCAGAGCCCCGGTATCCTCAGGCCTTGCTTTCTCAGTCTTTGACTCAAGATCCAAAGGAAAGAGTGTGAATAAGTTCTCAATAAACACTGAACACTGATAAAGAGCTACATATTGGTTTTAAAAAGAAGAAAATAGAAATTTTATAGTCGTGAAGTTTAACATTAAAAGGAGGAATTCCTTTGCAAGGCTCAACAGGACATTTGCTGAGATTAGGCCTGGTGCTTGAGCCATCCTCTCATGTCAGCTTGGGCTCTCTGCCCCAGAGACAGGTCAGTGAGGCAACACTGTCAGACTTCTGGGATGTGACAGGCAGAACACAGGGCAGTGGATCTCCCCAGCCATGACCATCCTTCAAGAAAGAATAAGATGACCACACTGGCTATTCAGTTCCAGAGGGTGGACCAGCATTGGGGGCTGGAGGGGAGAGGCCTGAAAACACAAGGTTAAGCCAAAAGGGGTTATCATCAAGCCTTAAAATCTAATGAAATGTGCCTTGCCAGGGTTTGGACTTCCCTGGGCTCCATGACCCCTTTCTTCTGATTTCTTGCTGTTGGAATGGGAATGTCTCCCTGCATGTGTCTCGTTATGTAGCAGATAACATGCCTGGTCTTACAGGTTCACAGGTGAAAAGAAATTCACCTCCATGACTTCAAGCCTCACCCACCTGATTTGGGTGAGTCAGATGATGAAATTTGGGACTTTGAATTTAGATATTTTGGACTTAGTTGATACTGGGATGATTATGGCTTCGGGGCATTTGGTGTAGGGTGCAATATTTTGCAATGAAAGGATGTGAATTTTGGGTAGCCACAGAACAGATGTTATGGGTTGAATTGTGTCTCCCCCAAACTTATTTTGTCCCACAAGCAGACTCTGCAGCTAGCCCCACATTTGGCTGACTCCAGGAATGTCCTGCAGCCTCCAAATCTTGCTTTTTCAGTCTGGGCCTCCCGCAAGTGACTGCTACCAGAAATGAACACCCAAACCAGGTGCAGTTCCTGTTGGAGGTTCTTGGAAAGGATCACAGGGAACTGGGCTCCACTGTTGCTGGTGCTGGTGGTGACCCTAAAGGTGAAAAATCAGGGGCCATTCCTGCGCTATATTGCCAGACTATAACTGCCATGACTAGGGTGGGGGGTGGCTCAAAACACCTAGTGGTTTTCGGTGTATTCGTCGAGATCTCTTAATTACAGCTTATCTAGAACTTAGCAGTACACTACTGGGACCAGCCTATGAAGCTGCCCAGTAAGTGATTTTCTTGGGTTTGGCGTCAGTGAGGTGGGATGTGTAACTTGAGGCAACAGAGAGTAGGCATCTCTATCAGGGCCCATGTGTCTCCTGTATTTCCTCCAAAAAGACCAATCTCCTGACATCTCCAGGCACACCTTTGTAAGAGGCCCTTCGACTGCATGTGAAACACCAGATGCGCAAGATGAGCCTCGAGCTGACCCAGGCAGGCAAAGTGTTTCTATGAAGAAACACAGAACACAGGAAGGACAGGTGCTGGGTGTCTGGATAATTCACTTCAGAATCCAGTCTGCTGATACAGAATTGTTCAGAAGGCCACTCCACTTCCCATCCCCAAGTTCTGCCCTGCTCCAGTTCTCCTTCCATACCTGTGGCCTCTCCTTCAGGACCCGTCTGTTTAATGAATGTCTTCAGGTTCTTAGCAAACAATCCTTTCTTGGCCAGCAGAGCACTGTAGGATCCTTTCTCCAAAATGGTGCCATTCCCCAGAACCACAATCTCATCCATTTGGGGAAGAAAGTGAATGCTATTTGTAACCAAGAGTCGAGTCTGCAAAAGTAACAGTAAGTTGTGCTGACTTCCCTGTGTCTACCATCTTCTTGGGTTTACATACTTAAAAAAAAGGGAAAACAGATGCCTTGATTCACTGTGGGGCTTTGTTTCAAAATGTCACCCTGACCACTTGACATCTTTTTGTTTTTTAATATAATAGTTTATTTTTACATCATCTTGTGCCTTTTTTCCCATGGACTTCCCACCACCAATTAACCCATGTGCCATCACCATAGTCCCATGTACCCCCCCCCATTTTTGATCCCATTCCCCACCCCACCCCCATAAAATATCTCTGGTATATAGTTGTTCATTATTAGTATTTTCCCCCCTCGCCTGTTATGCTCCTGCAATGAATGAAACCATCCAGTATTTTCCTTTATCTTTCTGCCTTGTTTCACTAAGCATGATCCCTTCCAGCTCTTGACATCTTTTACTTCCTTTTTGCCCCCCAGGATCTCATCTGAAAACCCTCTATGTAAGACGAAACTCCTATCATTGGAATATACTCACAGCTATTTTCCTGAAACAAGGAAGAAGTTTACGTGACAGAATTTGCCTCCAGTTTCCGGGGTAGGCAAAAGTGGAGCTTAGGAATGTCACTTGACATCAATTTCTATTGGTAATTGATGAATATAAAACTGACTGTAAGGTATCTCTTACACTAACCAACTAGTCAGTAGAACTAACAAGCATTTTCTAATTTCTGTCTGCATGGGAGAGACACTGTGGAGTAAGGAATTTGTCTTTGACTCAGACCTTACCCTGTGGGAGACTTAGCATCCATTGTATTCCTGTCTAAGCTGTACTATGCAGGGATCAGTAATGGGGCTCAAAAAGAGGGGGGTGGGGTTGAGATGAGCCTCTGAAGAGATAACCCACAGATGCCTGTCCCTCTACTTCACAGTGCCACAGACACAAGGCCCCTCTTATACAGAATATCCAGTGTCATCTAAGGGGCTCAGAAGGAACAACCACAGACAATCCTGATGCTGGACATTCCCAGGGTTACAAGCTAGGTACCAGGAACTAGAGACAAAGACCAAATGAAGTTTTCATTATACCACAGGCCATACCACAATGAATCATCCTAAGAGGTGCAATGCCAAAGTCATGGGGCTCAAACTTCCCAGATGTAACATAAGCTACAATCTCGAGGTGGGAACCTTCATGGTTAAGACTGTGCCGGAGTGGTGGGGAGGGGTTGACTCTCCTCAGCAGCCCGGGAGACAGGTAAATAAGGAAACCTCCCTCAGAACAGCAGCGGGCAAGGTGATGGGTGCCCCTCCCCCAGGTCTTCATGACTGGAAATGATTTCTCACCTTGCCTTTCAATAGGCCATTGGGACCCAAGACCTTATTGAAAATATGTTTCCCCACATGAGCATCCACAGCTGACAGGGGGTCATCCAGAATATAGATGTCTGAATTCTGATAGGTCGCTCTGGCCAGGCTGATTCGCTGCTTCTGACCCCCACTGAGATTTATACCCTGAAGAATAAGAGAATTGCTTTTAAACACTATTCCATAGACGTACCTTCTCAGAGGTTCTTCAGGAAGGGTAGTAAAGCGATTTGCCTCAAGAAGGTAGCTTGTTACTTACACTTAGTAGTACCTGTCTATAGGTAACTTCTATTCAAATAACTCACCAGGTCCAACAGTGAAGTGGAGGGCCAACATATTTATTTTTGTTGCTTCTGGACTCATGGGAATGCAGTGCTACACCAGTGCTTGTTTCGTCTGTGTGTGTGTGTGTGTTTTCTTCTTTTGTTTTGACTGTGATTGTAACTCCAACTTTTAAAACACTGTCTGGCCTATAATAGCTACTCCATAAATTATATGCTGAATTAGTGAGCAAAATCACTCTGGAGCTGTCATTTCACTAATCATCTGACACCTCAACACTTTTGCCCTCCAAAGACTACTTACTATATTCATTTTTCATAATGGAGAGGGAGGATAAAAATACCTACATATGTAGTCATCGGGGTTTTCCACAGAAATTGTGTCTTATCCATGTAATGGACATAATACAGTCATTAAAATCTATTTTTAAAAGGAAGGTATTTAATAAAATGAGAAAATAATTCACAGTAACTTTCTAAACATCCAAGATTAGTGGAACCCTACTTTGTCCTCACTTATATACAGAAATAAGAGTCAGATCTCTGAGGTACGGTTCCACCCCCACCTCTACCTGTGATGTCAGCCTTGGGCCAGTTGCTAAGGGTCACTTACCCTGACAGCTTTCCCCCAGATCACATAATTCCTATCTTTGTTTCCATCTACAAAATTGTAAATATCTGTGTTATCCGCACAAAGTATTGTGCAAAATCATGTTTTCGACCCTTTGTTCCCAATGTGACCCCTGAAATTGGTCACATACTTTATGTCCTGTACTTCACCACCATCTACACTGTTTCCTTCACTATTTCTTCACCCCTCAAGGTGTCTTGGTGTCCAGGTACCTTTTCTCCAATTTCAGCCAGGTCTCCTCCAGGCAGCACTTCTAAATCTGGGAGGAGGGCACAGGCTTCCAGAACTTGCTGGTATCTTTTTTCATCCAATTCTCCTCCAAAAAGGATATTGTCTTTTATGGTGCCATTCTGGATCCAGGACTGCTGTGGGACATAGGCTATTGTGCCCTAGATGGGGAAAGATCAGAGCGTGTGGCAGTTGTATCTCCAGAATTGCACAGTTAAAGGAAGGGGTGCAGGAGGAAGAGATTATAAGAGGACACCTGGAACTTAGATTTGAAGAAATGCATGTCAGATTGACTGAGCCTCTAGTATCTATAAGTGTGCTTATATTTATTGCTCTACCCAGGGAGAGAGATTAAATATTCTACTTACCATGTAAAGCACTCCCCCTCACCCTGCTTTTCAGCCATGATGCTGGAAACTGCAGGATGGATGCACAAGCACCTTCCAGAATAAAATTTTGCTCAGAGTTCAGTGCGTTTACTAGGATCAGTAGAGGACGATGCTTTAAAGGGGGTGTGAGCCTAGGGGTGCTATAGGGGATACCATAAGAAGCAGGAATCAAAAGAGTGGGGTTGGGTGCCAGGCTGATGTAGAAAGCAGACTATGTGCAAAGAGAGGAGGGGCCTGATAAATGCCTGTGTTGGAGGTGGAACTTAGTTATGAGTCAGCAAGAAAAAACTTCCTAAAAGGAGTGAAGAGATAGTTAAAACTGTAGTCTGCTTTGCTGTACAGTATGTTCATTTCATGCAAATTAGGTCATTAATGACTGGTAAATCAGAGCATGATGTCAGTAGAATGTGGACAAATTGTTGGTTCTTAAAATTTTTCCAAGCGTGTCAATGCAAAGCAATCAGGAGCAAGCTTTCTCACAATTAAAAAGAAAGGTTTAGCAATATATGAGGTACTTAAGGAAAAGGTTACAAATCTATACACATGCCTCTTTTTGATGCAATTAGTGACTGGTTAAATAATTAAAATTACCTATAATTTTCCTTAAATTTAACTCTCAGTGGCAGCTGAGATTGCTAATGAAGATACCACAAAACCATTTCTCTCTGTTAAAAAAAAAATCAGGTGGGCCCTCCCTGGTGGCGCAGCGGGTTAAAGCACAGCACTGAGAA